AGTCATCAAGTTGTGTCTAAATGAAGATTCTAGATAGAGAGTTTCTGTGTATTCTAGATTACAGTAAAGCACAACATTGTTTTCATTTCTCAATTTTCTCAGCTTGAAGTTTGAAAGCATCTCTTCTACTACTCTCATGAGACACTTGTCATTCAACACCTTGTCATTCTTCAAGTGAGAGATCATGATGTTCACTTATTCTGATTTCTTGCATTTTCTCAGTGTGTTTAACATGAACATTTCTTGTGCCTGGTTCACAGAATTCTCACTCATGAAATTAAGTCTGTGACTGATTGTATTCAGTATCACTGCATTCAATCTCTTTCAGTATTTGATATGAAGATTATATGCTTGAAACTTCAAGATTCAACATGCTAAGCATTTGAAAGGTTTTATTATTGATTATAGATAGATAAGACTTTTATGATCTGTGATCACTGTTGTTATATGTCTGTTATTGATATATCTATTTCATAACATCAGTATGTGCTTGATTGCTAGTAATTCCTTTTCATATACTGAGTAATTAAGCTCAGTGCTCAATAGTTTTCTATCATTATATATCACTGAGTGTAGCTTGCTATTCTTACTCATCTGTAGAAGAGCATCTCTGATAGCTCATTTAAATATATCTGTCTTAATGTAGAAAGGTTTATCATGATCTGATTGAATAAGCACTGAGAATATTATTACACATTTTCTCAGTGTGAGAAAAGCCTCTTCACACACAGTATTTCAGATAATTGAATAAAACTTCTTCTTTCACAGATTTGCATCTGTTTCTCTTAAGAGATCTGAGAGTGATGCAGATATTCATGCAAAATCCTTGATAAATCTGCAGTAGTATGAGACCAACTCAAGAAACTATTGTATATAATGTATGTTTCTCAGCTATAATCAATTCACTATGATATTCAATTTCTCTGAAATGAGGTGTATACAGTCATCACTCATCACATATTCTATAAACTTTAACTCTTCTGTTTTAAACACACACTTGATTGATTTGATATAGAGCTTATACTCTGTCAGAGTTGTAAGCACTTCATTGAGATGCTTCAGATATTCATTGTATAAGTTTAAAAAGACTAGAATATCATTGAGATATACAAGATATGAGGTTTCATTCTGTTTATGAAGAATCATATTCATCATCATTTGAAAGATGATGAGTGCATTTATCAGACTGAATAGTATTACCAGAAATTCAAACTTCTCTCATTGTGTATTAAACACAGTTTGTAAGACTGACAGTTTGTCTACATAGATCTGTCAGTATTCTGAGAGAAGATCAATCTTTGATAGATATTAGATGTTTTCAACTGTATTCAACTGTTGTTGAATTCATGACAGTGAATATTCATTCTTGATCATAAGCTTGTTGAGTGCTTGATAATTAATACATATTCATCACTTCTTATCTGTCTTTTTCATGAATAGAACTGGAAAGCCTCACATGCTTGATAAGAGTCATATAAGACTATGTTCTAGAAGGTCAGTAATCTGATGCTTCTGTTCTTTGAGATGTGTTTGTGACAGAGAATATGCATTCTGATTGACTGATTTTGCATCTCTCATGTCAATCTCATGTACAAATTCTTATTCCAGTGACAATTTCAGTGAAAGATCTGTTCAGAAGATCTTTTCATACTTCTTCAGAAGCTTCTTCATATGCTTATTCTCTCACATATTCTTTATCTTGATTTTCTTCACTTCTGAGTCCTGTATGATATACAGAATGCTTTCAGATAAGATCTTGTGAATTATTCTCTTTACTTATTGATGTGTAAGCAGATTTAACTCTTCTATATCAGAGATGTGAAATGTCCTTCTCATATCAGTTGATAGAATTGTATGAATCATTTTCTTTCTATCAGTCAACTGTATATAACATGTACATCATTGAATCTATGAGTTAAACCTTTGAAATTAATCAAGTCTGAGAATAAGGTTGTATTTCACATTCTGCAGCTCTCACACTTAAATATAGCAAGATCATTCTCTGAAGTGCAAGAAAACTCTTACTTTTGCAGATAATATCAGATATTAATTATCAGATAATCTTATATATCAGAGATTCTTCACTCAATGAACTTCTTTCAATCTTCAAATTATATAATTATTAATATATTGTGTAGAAGCTTCTGTGTCTGCTAACACTTTTACAGCTATCTCTCAATTCTTACTCAAGTGCTCTCTATACATTAACATTTCAGGTCTCAAGACATTGAGATAAGCATTCACTTCATCATTCTCGCCTGTATCTCATTTGAGAGTCTGCTTCTTCTTTGCATTTGCAGGATTTAGAGAGTCATCTAACACAGACATCTCTTTCACTTTGAAGACTTTTCATAGAATATCAGTGAGTATCTCTGAGCTCACTGATTCTGCTAGTTTTTTGACTGCACATGCTGAGTGCAATCTTTTACATTATGATTTTAACATCTGCAGTTGAAACAAGCTCAATACTTGTGATATCAAGATTTTCACTCAGAAAATCTCTTTTTTAGAGAATTCAGTGCTTTAATAATGACATTCAGATCTAGATTCATCACATTCAGATATGTGACTTATGTTATAGAAGTCTGATTATCTGTTCTTCACTGAGATATACTTGATTGCAGTATTTTCTGTTGCAATTAACTCACTTATTTCTGTATAATAAGAATGTTATATGCTTTCTTCACTGTGCCTGACTGTGAGATTAAGTATTTTCATTTCACTCTCAACTCAGGTGTAAGATCATGAATAAAGATCTGTAAACAGAAAGATATTGAAAGCTCTTTATTTAACATGAGATAATGTAAGCTGAAGTGTATGAAGTATGATATAAAATTACTCACTTATCTACACTCAGTGAAGTGTTCATAACACTTATCTTATACATTCACTTTCTCAAAGTTGTGCAAGATTCATTTGAAAAACTCATTTCATATTTATAAGAATAAATATCACTTCAGATCTGTGAGATTCATCTTTTTATCAGTCATTTATAATGACTTTACTTTTCTGTGTAGAAATGCAGCAGATCTTAAGACTTGTTAAAATTCTGTTAACTGTCTGTCTGTGAGTTCATGTTCAATCTGATAATATGATTGCATCTGACTTAGTCAGCTGATTACAGTATCATTTTTTCAGTTATCATTGAAGTTTAATAGCTTCAGCAGATCTTTCAGCTTGATATATCTCATACTTAGATTCTCATTCTACACAGCAGTCTCTGATGATGTGTACACTTCTAAAGAAATTATGAACAATTGTGATGAGATCTTCAGATTCAGTATAGTTATCTATCTGTGTAAACATTTAATCTCTCACTACAGGTCTAAGATCTGATTTTCTCTATTTTTATTAATGATGATGATTATATCAGTGAAGCTCTTCATAGTGAATACTTGATTTACAGTGAATGTCAATTGTTGTTTGACTTTCATCTCAGCCTGTCACTGTGTACACAAGATCTTAATCTCATTTAGAATTCTTGTACATGTACAGAGTTTTAATTCTGATTCAGTGATCTCAGCTGCTTTTCTTACTACTTCAAGTAAATTCTCTGAGAGATTCTGCATATCTTTCAGTTCAGATAGCAGAGAAGAATGTTATTTATATCAGTTAAAGAAGATATTTATTTCAGTGATTTCTAGTTAATTATACAATGTCTATTGTTATATTACTTATATCATTATATTACTATATCACTGTATTATTATATTACTATATTGTTCTATCACTATATTATTATATGATTTCTATTATCATTGTATAACTTCAGTGATAATCACTTCTTCTTTTTATTCTTCTTTTAAGTAGAAAGTGAACTTCTTTGAATCTGATTCACTGCTTTCATCTCTTTTCTCACATCTCATCTGTTTGTGTCTCATACATGGTATTCACCTGAGTGTGGAGTTTTCCCTCAACAAGCAAAGCAGCATCAATTGAATGCTCTTTCACTTATCACTCTTCATACACTATCTTTTGAGGTATTCTAGAATCACACTGACATGATAACTATGAATCACTTCATAGACAGAATTATCACACCCTGGAGGAGCCTGCACTTCTCATCAGTTTTTAGACATACTATCAGATGTGATTCAAAGGTTGCTTAAGCCAGTGTACAATTACAGGCGTATGCCGGCTTCTTATATATAGAATCTCATACGCTAAATTAATTAGTGGCCGCTAGGGCCCCCTTTACATTCGTACGCTAGTAGTTCGGAAGCGGCCGCGTTATTATCCGACGGTCGTACGTTCTTCCGAACCACAGACACTCTGTGAAGAGTTTGCTGGGAATGTCCTATTTAGGTTTAGTGTAAGCTCTGTGACAGTTGATTGACTCAGATGTTAGCAGGACTTGACAGAAAGTAGCAGTAGTTCGGATTGAGTTAGCTCGGAGTGAAGTGGCTGAGTTTACTGAGATAAGTCCCAGCCGCCCTTAGAGTTGAGTTCCCATCACGTGACATATATGTATGACTAAGCTGATGTGGCCTGTTAGGCTGCCAGCTAGGCTACCAGCCCCTCAAGGAAAGTTTATTGATTGAAACAGTTATAGGTAGTAGTTTCTATCCTCATAGATAGATATAGAAATATATACACTTGTATGCCAGTTTGAGGTTTCAACTCTTAGGCAGCTATGCAATGCACTACTATACATACAGGAGTTTCTGCTCTTTTCCTTGGAAATTCACTTATTCTTGCTGAAAACTTCCAGTTGGTAGTCCGGTTATTTCTGCAAGAATCACTTCATTTCCACCTGAGCTTCCTGTATCCATACTCTCTCTATCTGTTCTGTATCTCTGCCTTGTTAGGTCTTTCCTGACCCTCCTCAACTTCTGTCTACTGGTTTTACACTTGTATGCTAGTTGTCCCTTGGACAGGACTGCCTGGAATTGACCCAGGAGGCCTGTCCTGATCATCATCTTTGCTGCTTGTACCGTCATTAACGAGCTACAGAGAATGCGCTTGATGTTCACGCATGGAGACTTGCTTACCCACATTCAATGTTGTTCTTCTACCCAATTCTGATACTCAAGGAGGATGTGTCGCACGGTCTGCGGTCCGTAGCCGCATTGGCATTTATCAGTGTCGACCTTATTGATGTCGTGAAGATACGCACGGAGGCCGATCTTGCCTGTACTGCTTATGATCATGTCCCCAGGGAAAAGAGTGTCCCCAGGGAGAGGAGTGTCCCCAGGGAGGGCAATGTTTCCAGGAGAGCGGCGCAAACGGTGCGCAAAAAGGACTGCAATAACAATTGGCTCGCGCCCAAAGAATGGACCCATTTCAGGAAATCCACAGCACCTGCTCTTTCACCACAGCAGGAACTGAAATAAATCCGGAGTCATTCCTGTAGCGCGAGCTGTACTTGCATCTCATTGTTCTCTGGTTCCCCTCTTGCTCTCAAGATGCATAAATACCATACACTGGTGTCTATCAAATAGATCTGGGGTCCTGGTTCACTCAGTCCGCACGCATAAAGAGAATATAAATCCCAGCCAACAGATGCAGCCCATTGAGAAGATTCAAACAAAGAATGTGACTATACACCCCGGGGCGAAGGTCACATATGTGGGATGGCTGACAAGGACTGGGGCGAAGAAACCGACCTCCTCTCTGTTGGTTGAACTCATCATCAAGGAACATGCAGACCGAGCAATCAGAGAGGGACTGGTGCTGAATGCCTGCTACCACCGCTGGTAGAGTCAGCCTCCGGCCTTTTTAAATGACCCAAGATCTTCTAAAGTGAGAACTTAACAATTGAATTTCTTTCTTCCGTTTCCTCCTTTCGTCACCACGGTGGTGTGTCATTATCGGGAGACATAGCTTGGTAAGAGCATGGCTTGGCGCGCTCCTACCCCCAATAAAATGGGTAACCAAATCACGCCTTGGCGTCCTCCTGGTCCGGACCGCGACGGGCACAGTTCGATCCATGCCCCCCGGAACCATGGCAGAAGCCAGTACTCAAAGGCATCTACCTCGACTCCGACAGGGCCAGAGCCATCGAGAGAGCTACGAAAATAATGGAGAACCCAGCCAAGGCAGTCTTCACCGATGCCGCAAAGGAGAACTCGGCGCTTGGAGCAGCGGCGCTGATCATGGACGAATCATACCACATCCAGTATGGCATACAAGTTGGTGTTGGGCGAGAAAAGCACTGGACTGTCACAACGGCTGAGCTGCTAGCGATATACCATGGACTCTACCTGGTATGGAGATCTCACTCAAGTGAGGGGACACCGACCCCCCACCAACGACACACATACACCATCCTCAGCGACTCCCGTACCGCTCTTCGAGCCATCGCAAACGCCTCAAAACAAGTCGGAGGACAGATAATCCAGAACATTCTGCACACAACAAAAGAGCTGAGATCCATAGGCGTAGACCTCTGCCTCCAGTGGGTATCAGGACACAGTGGAATCAAGGGAAATGAAATGGCCGATCAGCTCGCCAAGCAGTCAATCAACCCAAACCCAACGCATGGTTTCCCAAAGCCTGCCTCACACCTTAGGGAAGCCAGCCGCAACAGCACCACACAGGAGTGGAGAGATGAATGGTCCTCAACGGCAAAGGGGACTCACCTGCGGAAGATAGACGCAGCCCTCCCGGGCCGACATACCCGCCGTCTATATGCCACCCTTCCAAGGCCTCGAGCAAGACTGTGTTCATAGCAGCCGAGGATCGGTGATCGGAACATACATGTTCATGGCGGCCGAGGATCGGCGATTGGAAATGGGGCGGTAGAAATCTATGAAGTGTACGGAATAGTCTATATAATTAATCGGGCGCAGCCCGCCACAATTATCTTGATATAATCTTAACATCTGTATTTGTAGACTACTGGGGCAAAAGAGCTCAATCACTACCAGCGCACTGCTGGTAGAAGGGCTGATCAACTGCAGAACTCTCAACACCCTCTCTCAGACCAGCTATCACAGAGTACAGTACTTTCTCTCAGTGACTCTCTTCAGTGATCTTCCCACAATGACTTCTTTTTAATAATGAACTCAGTCAGTTCTAGAGCTCACAGAACTTCTAGAGTATACTTCTGAGATATCTCTTAATACTATTAAAATGTTCAGAGTATTTATTAGGAATTTTTAAGTTCATTCTGAGATCAAACTCATGCATGTTGATCACAGCAGAGCTCACACTTAACAGTCTCATAATCTGTAGACTACTGGGGCAAAAGAGCTTGATTATCAGAATGAACTTAAAAATTTGTTAAGAGTTTCATGATTAGTCAGCTCTTCTACCAGCAGTGTGCTGATAATGACTGAGCTCTAGAACTGAGTGATTCAGTTCATTATTAAAAAGAAGTCATTGTAAGAAGATTACTGAAGAGAGTCACTGAGAGAAAGTACTGTACTTTATAATAACTGATCTGAGAGAAGATGTTAAAGATTTCACAGTTAATCAGCTCTTCTATCAGCAGTGCACTGATAATAACTAAGCTTTAAAACTGACTGAGTTCATTATTAAAAAGAAGTCATTGTAAGAAGATCACTGAAGAGAGTTACTAAGAGAAAGTACTGTACTCTATAATAACTAATCTGAGAAGAGATATTAAGAGTTCTGCAGTTGATCAGCTCTTCTATCAGCAGTGTACTGATAATAATTAAGCTCTTTTATCTCAGTAGTTTACAGATTATAAGACTGTTAAGCATGAGTTCTGCTATAATTAATATACATAAGTTCAATCTCAGAATAAACTTAAAAATTTCTAATAAATACTCTGAACATTTTAACAGTATTAAAAGATATTTTAGAAGTATACTCTAGAAGTTCTATAAGTTCTAGAACTGAGTAATTCAGTTTATTATTAAAAAGAAGCTATTGTGAGAAGATTACTAAAGAGAGTTACTAAGAGAAAGTACTATACTCTGTAATAGCTAATCTGAGAGAGAGTGTTAAAAGTTCTATAGTTAATTAACTCTTCTATCAGCAGTATACTGATAATAATTAAGCTCTTTTATCTCAGTAGTTTACAGTATTTTCTTCTATATAATTAATACTTAATCTGTATTTAATATTACATAAGAACTCATTATAAGTTCTGCTTATATATAAGTATAATAAAATAATAATAATAATAATAATAATAATAATAATAATAATAATAATAATAATAATAATAATAATAATATAATAATAATAATAATAATAATAATAATAATAATAATAATAATAATAATAATAATAATAATAATAATAATAATAATAATAATAAGTCACTGAACAGGCTTTTACAGACTGTATATAATAAGAGATTTATAAGAGAAAGCTAAGATATAACTCTTTCATATATAGTAATATACTAACTACATTAGAACTAGTGCAATTCATGCGTGATTATAAAATCAGTATTATGTGGAATTAAGCCATTACACTGAAAATACATTGACAAAAGCCATTTGACACATTTGTCACTATAGACTGCCGTACTCTTGAACTTTCCGTTCACGTCCCTAGGTTCAACATGTGTGTGGGTGCTGTAATTTTCTGTAATATTCCTGTATTATATTGAATTATTTCCACATTGACGCGACGCGCTGCATGCATATGCTGCGCAGAGTTTCAGACAGACATCATCCGGTTTAGTGATGCGCACCTCGCTAATCATAGCGCAACGACTGGTCACCAACCTACATTAGGTGGGGAGATGGCTGGGGGCGTGGTGGGAATAGCCCATTTTTGGGATTTGGCTGACAAGAAGGACGAGGAGGGGGTTTTTGCTTGTCCCAATCGATAACTAGTTGATAGTTGCCTGGGGAGCTGTAGATCATGGCATCATGGCATCATGGCATGTGATATGATAACTGGCGGTGGTGAGCCTCTGATGTTCGTTGTCAATAATAGTTAGAATGGATGGAACAAACATCAATAACTAACAGATATTTGCTCCTAGAAGACAGATTCGCTATTCAACAGGATATTGTTTCATGGCCATATAGAGGCGCAGTTAACCTCGTTTCCCACTCACACTGAGAAACAGGTTGGAATATCCTGTTTCATCTGGAGCTCCGGGGGGGGGAGCACTCCTTTGCCATACCGTCTTACGCAGCGTACTTGCTTGCTGACAGGAGAAGTCTTCTCAGGCCAATGATTGGACTGCCATCTATCTGATTTGCATATGGTGTGGTGTGGTGGTGAACCCCGAATTCGTATTGCGAGAATTAGAATTGGAGTTAGGCAAGACAATTAAAACACAAGACAAAATGTTGTACCCAGACAAAATATGAATTAAATAAATGAATGGAAATGGGGCAGTGAATTTATTTGATGGAGAGAGTGCACAGTTCTTCCTCCACTCAACAAGCCTCTCCTGGTAAATGGAACTTGTGAACCTCCTGGGATTCTGCTATCTATATAACATAAGTGTGTAAAAGCTATGTACAGTGTCACATAAAATACATGATATCCATTATTCATTAAAAATGTTCCTCTATATCAATCCGTACTATACCGTTTTTTTTTTTTATTTTATAAAAGCCACAATCATATCTCATCTTCCCAAGGTATACTATCCATCGCTCCACTCCGCTCCACACACCTCGCCGACGCCCTCGTTGCCCATCTAACAGCTTGTTCCATGGCGGACCCATACCTTTCTTGCCTCTCCTCAACCGTCAATTGCTCTCCGCCCCGGCCCGCCGCCCTCCTAGCCTCCTTCCACCGCGCAATCTGCACCGAATACCCGCCCACAAACGTATCCCCCGCCGCTGTCGTATCAACCACCTTTTCCACCTTGGCCGCCGGCACCTCTCCCACAAACCTTACCCACCCTCCCTTTGCATCTCCTTCTCCCTGTCCTCGCTCCTGTACATCTCTCCCCGCATCACCAGCGCTATACCACACCCCCTTCGCCCCCAACGTAACAATCACATGCCGCACCCCCAATGCATGAAAATGCCGCGCAATCCTATCTCGCCTCTCGGGTGACGTTGCCGCCGTCTCCTTCTCCTGCCCCGCGCCCTCCTCCACCAACCCCGCCGGCGCCATAATCTCACACTCCGTCTCATTCATCACCAAATGATCAACAGCCGCATACACATCGACCGGCAAGCCCCCCTCGGGCGCCGGGGCAGGGTTAAACACAACCTCCACATCCGCCTCCATCCCCACCCCCCTCCCTTCCACTTTCGCCCTCGCCTCCCTCCACCCATTCACCCCCCTCAATATCCCCACAACCGTCTCAGTCGGAATCTCCGCCTGCAACACCAGCACATCCGGCACGGCCGGCGTCAGCGAGAGCGACAACTCAAGCACGTCCGGCGCACACTGCATGCCGGCATAGTTGGAGCCGGGGGAGTAGAGGATGCGGTTCTCGCCGCCGGCGGAGGTGTCGACAATTATCACGGCGACGCCCGTGTGGGCGTTGGGGATCTGGCGGATGCGGGAGGTGTGGACGCCGGAGCTGTGCAGGGTCGGTTGGAGGAGGGTGGTGAAGTGCGTGTCTAGCTGGCCGGTTGCGCCGAGCATTTCGACGTGGATGTGTGCCGGGCTTATGGTTGGTGTGATGGTGGTAGTGGTGGTGGTGGTGGTGGCGGTAGTGGTGGTGGTGTTAGTGGTGTTAGTGGGTTTGGGGCGCGAGAGACGGCCGCATGCTACTGCTTGGTTGGCGCCTTTGCCGCCGGCGTGGATGCTGAAGGAGGTTGATGTGAGGGTTTCGCCTGCTTCGGGGAAGCGCGGGGTCACAGAGACCATGTCGACGTTTAGGGAGCCGATGATGCGGATTGAGGGGACCATTTTTGGTTTTTCCTGGGAGTTTTTCGTCCTTAGTTTTTCAATGGTAGGTATGGTGATTAAGGATAATCTTCGGTTGTAATAGACGTGATTCTGTTCTTTCAATGGCGAGTGGTCTGTCTGCATAGTTAGAAACTCGAAGTATAGTAGTATAGTATGGGAAACGATGAGGTTAGGAATTAGTTATGTAACTAAGCAACTTACTTAACTAGTTACTTGTCTGCCGTAGTTAGTTATTCTTGGAGGATAACGTTGTTGTGTTGTGTTGTAATCTAACTACACGAGTTACACTAAATGGATAGGTTGGGGTGGCACGTGACTAGGGTAGGTGTAGTAATCACCAACACCCCCCCTTGCTACACCGTGGCCTATAATAAGCCGCCACCCGGGGCCTCCTCCATCCTCAAATCTTTCAAAAATGCAATAATAATTAATTACATGAATCGGACCCTGATTTCCTCATTAGGAAAGGCGTCCGTACGGCAATAACCGTAAAAATCAAGAAATACACGCAAAATCCATTGATCCGCTGTATCATCATTACCATTCATTCCTTCTTCTCAATTTCCTGAATGCCAACCCTCTTGACAAATTCTTCAAATGCAGGCTTCACCAGTGGCTTGGTGAGCCTGTCAGCTATGTTCACTGTAGAATCAACATGTTCCATCATGATTTCCCCTTTTTTCAACCAAATCGCGGAGAATATGATATCTAATCTCAATGTGGTGCGACCTTCACATTAAGGATTTCCCCTTTGCTAGATCAATTGCTCCCTTATTGTCAACTCATAGGTGTGAGCATATTTTTGCTTTTTCATCATTCATCAACCCAGCATCATATAACATATCATTCAATCAGATTATCTCACAAGCTGTCTCACTAGCTGCAATATATTCAGCTTCTGTGATTGATTTAGCAATAGATGTCTGTCTCTGTGACTGCCATGAGATCAGTGACTCATTAATCAATATAATATAGCCAGTAGTCAATTTGTATTGAGAATCTGCCTCTGCTCAGTCTGAATTGCAGTATATCACAGAACTCAGATCATCTTCTATCTCCTTCTTATACAATATGCTATGGTTTTTCATCTTCTTAACATAACATAGGACATGCTTCAACACTGCTCAACATGCTTTGTGTGAATGCAAGTTAAAACATAAGAGATAGTTGACTGTGAATACCAGGTCTGATCAGCTGCTTGAGATCAAATACTGCAATGATCTCAATCCTTGACAATATCTCATAGCTGTAAAGTTGTCATTCAATTTATCATTCTCATCAGATGAAAATTTCAGTCATATACCTGTCATCATAAAGGTCTCTGCAGGATTCATCTTATTCATGCTGAAATCTTCAAGAATCTCCTCAATATAACAGCTCTATATAACTGCTAGATTGTCATTTCTCTGGCATTTAATCTTCATCTTCAGATAAGGTTTATTCTGTTTGACTTCTTTTGTCTCAAATCTTTTTCTGATTTTCATCAAAATTCACTCAATTTCACTCTCTTCAGACTCTGTGATTCAACAGTTATTAACATATAGTGTCAAGAATAACTTGCAAATTAAGTGATAAAGAAATTCATCATTGTAAGATAAGATCTTGAATTCTAGATTTATCAAGTATTCTGTTGTAAGAAAATATCATGTTCTTACTGTCTGTTTCATTTCATATAAGCTCTGACATACAAGCTCTATCAATTCATCATGATTATGCTTAATTCCTGTGAGTAGTTGTATAAATATCATCTCATTCTGAGGCAATACCTCATTTAAAAACACAGATACATAGTCAATTGATCTGACTTTTCAACTTCTTACTATTGATATAGTAAATAAGCTTCACAACATAGATTCAGATATCACTGCTGTATATAACTTATTATAATGAATATCTTATTATTGTAGAAATTCTCTAATCACTCAATAAGCTCTAAAGCAGATGATTTCATTCTTATTATTCAATTTTCAATTATACACTCATTTATCTGTAAGAATGTTCATTTTCAGAGTCTTTTCAATGATAATATATATCTTCTTTCATTTAAAAGTTTTCACTTTCTTTCTCATTGTCTGATGTCAATATTCTCAGTCATGACTTCTTTTAACCTCTGTCAGTGTGATCAGACAGTCATTAAGAACACTGAGTACAGAATCTTCATCATTCACAGAGTTATTCATATTATTATTAACAAGTTCTGTCTCATCATCTAGTAGATATATCAGTTTCAGTGCATCATTCATATCACTATCAGCAAGCATTTTTAAAACATCAGGTTTATTCTTTGTAAGTCTTCTTAGAAGACAGTGTTATTATTTCTTTATAGTATTAAAAACATTCAATTTCTCTGACAGTTTGACTGCTTCTCTAATGACATTCATCAGTGCTTCTTCTATTGTTAATTCTTCATCAAAAATAACATCTCTTACAATCTCAAGCTTTCAGATTGCAGGGTTTCAGATACAATATTGATGCAGTTCTTAATATTCAACTAATTATCATTACTTATCATCAGTTCTATTCACAAGCTTATTGATAATCTTCAGATTCTTCTTATACATCTTATATTCTCATCTGCATATTCAATGAGCAGAAGGTTGAACACCTGTTCAAGCTTTAAAAGAGAATAATGAGATCTCTCTCTGACACCTGTAAATCTTCATTGATATTGAGAATGTGTTAATTATTATAACTGTGACTTGAATAGCTTCACTTCAAAGTTCTCTTACAAGCCTGCTGTTGAATAGTAAGCTTCTTATCTTTTCATCTACAATACAATTGACACATTCTGCAGAGCTGTTGAACTGTGATGTATCAGATATAGTAATCTTATATATAATCTCTTTCTGTCAGCAGTAGGTCTTTAATTCATCACTTTTAAATTCATCTCTGTCATTCCAGTGTAAAGTCTCAATTCAACATTGAGTAGTGGCCTTAATTCTGTCAATAAAGATTATCAAACACACAGTAATCTCACTCTTTAATATTATAAGAATAATTCATCTGTAGCATGTAACATTATCTGTAATACTCATTCAATAATTAGCTTCTTCATGAGTAGAAAGATTGATTTCATTATATAGTGTACAGTCATTATCTACAAGATTCATGAAGAATCTTATTACAGATTTGATAGTTCTTGTCATTGATGTAAATGTTGAATGTGTTATTTTTATCTGTACACAGATCTTGTAGAACAGTAAAGCTCTGTTATTCTTAATTCTCATTCTCAGTTATAAATCTGCTGCTAATTTAGCAATATTCACAGAGTTGAAATGATCAAGCTTTTGATATCATTATAACATTGTATGTTCAACAATCTTGATATTCTTATTAAGCAATGCTAGCAGAGAATCTTTTTTCTCTGCAGACTGTAGAATTTTCACAGATTTAAATTTATTATTTAACATTGCAAATTGAATCAAGTCTCTAGTCATTGATTGTTTTTCTAGAATATAGATGTTCTTATCACTTAATTTAACAGTAAAACTCAACATCTTGTCAGAAGAGATTAGCAAGATTGAATGAGTGTTTTCATAGATCAGTTGCTTATATGTATAGCTCTGATATACAAGCTTCTCAAAACTCATAAGATTCATCTTCAGCTTGAAAACATAGCAGATGTTCTGCAGCAGCAGATTCACTTCTTCAACTGATATATTCATCTTCTCTATAGCTGTTGCAGAAGCTGTCAATTCATCAGTTATCTTCAATATAATATTAATCTTCTACAGTACTATTAATATGAGATTCTTGTAAGATGTAGCATAAGCATCAGATTCAGAGTTCAGAACTCAGATATCTTTATCAGTTTAATCAGTAGAATAGACTGTTTCTGTTGTATGAAATACTTACTCAATAATATTATGAACTGACACTGAGTCTATTTCATTCTTATTCTTATTCTTATCACAGCTAGTAGAGTGTTTTTCAGGAAATTTCAATCAGTAATCTGTTTGAATGTGATTAATCTTCTAACAATAATAACATGTTTTAATAGCATTATTACTCTTTCTATTCAGCTTAGTGAAATCTTTGTTCTTATTCTCAGAAACCTTCTCTTTCTTCTTATTCTTTTTATTCTTTCTGTTGAAATCTTGAGCATTATTTGCAGAGATCTTTTCATTAAAGATGAGAGATTCATCAGTAGCTGACAATTATAGAAGAATATCTCAACATAATTTCATGAAATTATCTTCAAGTGTTCTAGTATTCTCATTTTTCTCTATTACATTCATTTAATTCTTTATAAAAGACAATCAATCTTTACTAATTTCTGTAAGAAGTCTGTTAAAAAACATGAAATCTTTAATATTATATCTCAATCAGATATAATCAGTTCTGATTGTAATTAAATATTTAATAAATGCATGATCAGAACTCTTTGATTTTAACATTATCTCAATTAATTCTTAAAACAGATGAGTTCTGCAGACAGCAGGCCTTTCAGTGAAATTATTCTCTATGACAGATTATAGAGAATAAGCAGATAGTTGAGACTTCTTAAGTATAATAAAGTGAGATTTGATCTGCAGAGTGATCACAGATTATATATAGTTATATAGTCAGATATTCTATTCTGATCAAAAATGTTATATATTTATACTGACATTCTCATTAGAATTGATCTACTTATTATTAAGAATATCATCTGTTTCAGATTATCTTACTGTAAGCAGAATCTCTTCTTTTCATATAGAATAATTTACAGAGTTAGTGAGTATAACAGACTTCTTTATAGATCTTACTTAATTTCTGAATTCATTAAGAATCTTTATCAATGCAGATGTTCTATTCTTCTATTAAAGATAGTTTATTAAATCTGTACTAAGCTCTTCATTTTCATTTCTATCTGTCTTCATTCACTTGACTTCATGCTGAAGTCTTGTAATTTCTAGTCTTATATAAGTCTTCTCACTCACAGAGTTATTGTCATTTCAGTCACTTAAGCTCTCTGCATTGTTTAATATCTCACTGATATTTTCAATTAGGTCTTTGTATTCATTGTTGAACTCATCAGACTGTTCTTCTACAATTATGTCATCCAGCTCAAATGTAAGAAATCCCGCTCCTCGCGGATTCTTTACCCCTATTTCTATCTCTCATGTAATCAATAGGGCTAGCGGCCCTTGACTACACACAACTATATAGACTGGAGTTCACGAATACTATTCACAACTCAGCTTGAATGCTATTATACATT